TAGGCAAGAAAGTGGATACCTGGGCCGAACGACTGATTTACATTATAGTTTTACGAATGGTAAAAGCAAACCGCTAGCAAATAACAGTTCAAGAAAAATAGCAAGGGCGTTAAATACACCCTGTTCTACATGCTGTCATTTTTTCCCACTTCATGGGGGAACTGGTGCCCCAGTGAATGAGAAGCTTGACTCGAAAACCAGGAGGTTTCGGGTTAGCTCCCAATATTGGTCGAGAAAGTTCCTCCTTATTTTCCTGCGCGGTTTACCCTTGTCATAGCTGGACGGCGAGCCTGTCAAGAAGAGTGTCGGAAGTGACAAAAACCGAGGCCCAGTGTACACATTGGCGTGCACGTAAAAGAATCCTTGACAATTTGATTTCGAAATCTTTTAGAATGGGTTTTGTTTTTTGGCACAAATTATAGACGACTACATTGCATGGGGTGGAGTATACTTACTTGATATCAAAGGCCTCACATCATGCTTAGACATATTCCGTTTACTCCATTTTGGCAACAATTCTGTATATTGTTTTACTAGGAATACCTTATACATCTGATGGAAAGACAGTATTTCAATCTCCATTTATATCAAACAAAGAATATGAACTGAAAAGTGATATTAGGTAGTAACTAGACAAACAAAGCAAACTGTGAAAATCAGATAACGTCGTGACATCCTGGAGGATACTAATTAAATGCTTACAGAGGCCCCATTACAAATGAAATGTTTTGCTCCGACCGAGCTAATGAAGACCGGCTTACGCAATACAATGTGCTATGGGGAAAATTTTGCCCGGACAGCCGTGCTACGGCATGGTCTGATATTAAATTTCAACTACCAAGGTTTGTTTTACACACACGACAATGTGTACATGGGACTATGTTTTTTTGTGTGTCCCATCCGACTGACTATACGTTGTCCCTCTCCAGGACCTTGTTCTGGGCTAATGAAGACGGGCATATGCCATACAGTGTGCTGTGGGTGAAATTTTGCCCGGACAACCCCGCTACGGCGTAGTCTTATATCGAATTCCACCTGCCAAGGTTTCTGTTACGCGCACGCCAATCTGTACACCGGACATCGGGGTTTCGTACCATCCAAACGACTAGACGTTTTCCCTTCCCAGGCTCTCTGCCCTGCACCATTGACAAGGGGGAAACAAGCCGGAAATGTCCGATGAACTTTCTCGACCAACAGTAGGATTGAACACGCTACCTTCAGGTTAGTGGGCCAACTTCTTACTCAGTGAGCCACTTGATTATGTTGTAACGATTAATTACTAATTATACTCATAACAACCTCCTGTCTGCGTCAGTTGATCAGCTATACACGCACATTTCAAATACATACGTCATTGACATGTGTTTTAACGTAAAATTCACATGGAATGTTAAAAAGCGACACCCGCATAAACACACTGCAGGTCAACACAAGTGATTGTGTTAAAATTATAATACACAAGCTTGTGTTGTTTTTTAATCCATTAATACAAGTTTGTGTTGTTTTCTAATACATTAACAAAAGTTTGTATTGCATCAACAAAAACTTATCAAATCTTGTGTTTTTGTTTTATATTTTTAACACAAGTAATGAGTAAGTTTCGATAATTATGAAATATTATGTGCTAAGTCGATTTCTAAGTTAACACTTATTATGCTATTTTGTTAGCTCTAATAATTTGGGGTTTTTTTTCTTTAAAACAATATTTCTATTCCGGATATGGGATTGGGATACAGACTTAGCCTATATATTCAAAACACATCTCCCTGAATTTGAATTTTGAGGAATCCATTCATAAGATCGTCGCATTACTTTCAGTGTATATATTGTTGATAGTGCGATACCTGTAATGTCTCTTTTATAGCAGTATAATGAAATAAAGAGATCGAATTCTTAGTCTATTATTATCTAATTATGAACTAATTATTTAATTAGCCCTAAAAGATTATTTTGATTATACTTGGTGTTTATTTTTACATCTTGTTTCAGACAATAGATAGACACGGTTAGGTAATTACAATGTCTGCACTTGCAGATGGCTGATTGGTAATGTCCCAATAAAGTCGATACATCAAAGGAAATTCTCATAGGATGTGAAATTTAGAACTATAGTGTTATATTTAGGTTTTTAAAAATTTCTGAATGGGCATGGAAATAGTTGAGGTCATCTTTTTATTTAATTTAATTGGTTCATTAATCGAAATTGGAGATTTATTGCTTACCTGCAAATAACCAATTAAAATGAATTACTCTGAAAAAAAGTAAGAAATATTTTTTTCAGTATTTTGCGATATCACCTCCGGTGGAAGGGAACAATCCATCCTGGATTAGTATCGATTGATTACATAGTCCGGTATCAAAAAGTGATATTGTTGTGAAAAAAGTATTTTCAGAAAACAAGATTATCAGGTTTGTGATTTTTTTGTATTTTGTAATACAATGTATTTGTAACGCATATTTTTCGTTTCGGTTCAAACAAACTACATGTATACGCTAATTGTAATTTGCCGAAGGACGTTTGGCTAATATGGCGGGCGGGGAAACTGACAGTAGATTTCGAGGTATTTGAGTGAGCTGGACTAATTCAATAGTCTATCATATCCTGATGTGCACAAGTGTGTTTTAGTGTGATTAGTTATTCAAATAATCATTATTAGACTTCTGCCTTCGACACCCGTCAGTCCTGAATTGCAGTAATGTTGAACGCTATCTTAGTTTTTGTTTAGAAAAGGACATGACCTAGATAGTAGATAACAACTAATTGTGTTCCATTTGTCAGACTGCGTAGATTTTAGTAAGATAATCCAACATTGCAAAGCGAAATAGTGCTTCCTAAATGCTTTAAAGGGAAACGTGAATTCGGACATAGGCCTACAATAAATCCAGGTGAATTGGGAAACTTATTCATGCATTTTTCTTTATAAACTAAGAAGAGAAGAGTAGCTATTTATAAATGCCCAGTTGTCTTAGAGAATTAATAATTCAAACTTCAAACCACTTCTACTCATGATAGCAGTATATGTTGTATTTATTCAAATCATTCCATCGAAAATTTAATTTACCCAATTACGTAATAATAGAAACTCGACTTAATCTTAACTTTCAGGCCAAGAAGCATGGATAATTGGTAAATGCCATGTAACATTACACACTATGGGAAGGTATAGAGTGCTCTAGACTCATCAAAATGGTCATTCGGTTCAGTGTGCAAATTGGTGATGCATGAATAAGATTCCATAATAATGTGAATATGAAAAGGGAGTAGGCAATAAAGATGCTAGACTCAAATACACCCCCTTGCACCTGCATTCACATGAAGCCATACATGTTAGTCCTTCCCTAGACTCAGTATTTTACTTTTATTGTGCCATCTAATAACTCCTCTTTGGCCATTAAAACACACACTTGAACCTGGTATGCCAAGTAAAAAAACAAATCGACGCTCAATTCGTCTATAAGTGTCTTATAATCACCGCTTTTATATTTTTCAGAGACTGCAACATCCTTGGAAAATTAGTTAGAAATTTTTGATACCAATGAAAGAACCTTACATTCTCAAAATAAAGTCATCAAATTCTTTAATAAATCCGGAAATAAGACTCTTATTGTGGTAACCCAAAAGGTATCTGTCGCCATTGCTTTCTTTAATGGCTTATTTGCTTCATGTCAAATACCGCGCCCTCACTAGATATTGTTTTACTGTATAGACTGCACTATAGTCCTAAACCTAAGAATTTGAACTGAAAAGTTGCTTTTGGCTTGTATATAAATATTGTGTACATATTATTCATTATTTGCCATTTTCTCTGATATTTTTATTTCATTTATTTTTTAATAATCTAATATCTTGGTGCTTTTATTATACAATGAGCACACCTTTTATGTACAAAAGTTTCATTTTTTTTATGTACATATCTATTATATTTTCAGTTCTTGTTTTAGGGTAATTGGTTTTTTTTAAAATTTAAATAGCTTTATTGGGGAGTGGGGGGAACGATTTTGTTATTATATATTTCGAATGTCTCAATGCTTAATTTGGGTTGTTTTATTTTCAATTTAAATAGGTATTTTTTTCTTATTTTAGGATTGGGGGGGGGGGGGATTGTATAACACAATTTTATTAGTATTGGAATTGACTTTCGAAATGTCAATTTAGTATTGATTTAGCAGTATTAATTTAATTTTTCGCATGGTTTAATGAGAGAAAGAGGGGGGGGGGGTGTTTAACGTCCACTCGAAACAAACTAGGTCATTTCGGGACTATCATATAGTCTAATTTTATTTCAATAATACGCTTGCTCGTAGGAGTCTTTAGCAGTGGGAGGATACCGGAGGACCCGGAGAAAACCCACAAGGTTGGACAGGCGACCCTACTCATAGTCAGGTACAATCGAGGAATCGAAACCACGCCAGTTGGTGCTAACCATGGTTAGTTGGTGCTAAGCATTCGGCCATCCAACCCCGCGCAATGTGGGACTTCTTTAGTGTGAATATAAACTGTAAAGGTAAAACAAGAATTATAGAAAACTCTTAAATATGTTTAATGTACATAAAGACCATATACATATATATAATGTATATTATTTAAATTTTGATAACAGTAAATATGTATAGATCTGAATTTATATTGTATGTACAGTCAATACAACACATAAACAATAGAATATACATGTTACCATTAATAAATAATTGCACATAATATATTGACCTAAATTTCTTTTCTTTCTGGTGCACATTCAAATTTCATGATAAAAGTAAAATTTTTATTTTTAGAGGGATTGTAAAATATGTTATTACTAAACTGATATTATATTTACATATATACAAATGTTTAAACCATTAAGGATTTATTTTATTATCAACAGTTTTCTTATTAGATATTTATCCTTAAATAAAGGGTCTTTTAACCCGAAACTTTATGCACATGAATAAATCACCTCTAATTTCTACACAGATCTGCCACAGCCCCCCCCCCCCACACACACACACACACACCCCTGTGAAAAAATTGTCGCCCATAAAAAGAATAGATATACATTGTCCGTCAGTTTTACAGCACCCGCTGAGAACACTTCCAGCCCCCTCGTTGCTCTGAGCTAGTTACGTCCCTGATCTACTGGCTAGTCCAGCCTCTGCTACTCTTTTAAGGGAGTGTTGGCGTTCCTCCTCTCGTTTCCCGTTTTATTATTATGTGGGTTATTTTACATACATGTACGACATATAAACCTGCTAATTATTCTACAAACATAAGTTGATAGAGGCGATGACATTCATGAATTTAAACATCTTGATTTTCCTACCATATACCAATTCAAAGAAACCACCGGCAGTGATGGCGCTAGAATTCATTCACTAGAGTTGACAGTTCTTCAATCGATTTCTCGCCATCTATGTCATTTTCTAACTTTGATATTACAAATTGTTTTTCAGATTTGATAATTATGATGTTGTTTGCATCGTGAATAAATTGTGAATTCAGATCTTTGGTACATATAGTTGTGCACAGTGGCATCGTTTTCCGGCACTAAATATGGTAAAGTACATAATTATTTTACAAATATAACGATGATAAGTAGCAAGCGCATTTCATGGTAGAGTAAATAATTATTTTACAAATATCCCAAACACGATAAGTGGCACTCGCATTTCACTTATTTTATCCGATAGAGTTATTTATATTGATATATAAATTCAACGCATTTCGATGATTTAAATTAATTCTTTGAGTTTACCGTTTAGTTGGTTATGGTATTTATAAAGCGCCCTTAAACAGCTCACACAGTAGGAGAAGTTGTTCATATCGATTTAGGGATGTCCGACGTTTTGAATTTGAAGGACGTCTTCTGTATCGTTCAAATATTTATCAAACCCCACGGCAAGTCACTTATTTTCCCACACGATAATCTTATTACCAAGAAAACATGGCTAACACTGTGCTTGTGGCGCCTATAGTTATAAATAGAAATACCCAAAAAAGGAGATTGTCCACGGCGCCTCCAATTTCCTCCCATGTGAAATCGTCCTCCTCAAGCGTTGTTTCAAACAAGGGAGATAACTCTGTTCGTCCATTTTCTCCAGACGCCTTTATCTCTACCTTAGTGGTAGACGAATTCTCTGAGAAGTGTTTCAAGTCTGCGTCTGGTATTCTTTTACTGCAGTCGCCGTTTCTCTCATATTCACGTCGCTTCAGAGATTTGATTCGTTTATTTCGATTTCTGTATTTTTTGCGGCAGCAGAGAACACATTTTAACATTGGAGGGATTGGTTTGTTGGCATCTTGGTGTATCATGTTCATAACCACACCAGACGACAATACCGACATAGTACTCAAGGTCAGCAATAATGTTAGATACACAGCTGAAACAAACAAAAAATAAATATCAGATACTGTTCTTGTTGATACCACAAATCGAATGGCTGGTCATTGATTAATATCAGCACCCTAAATATAAATTTTTATGAGTGACCGCATAATTTATTTTTTTTAAATGTAGGTTTAAGAGTTGGTGTGAAGGTCCTCCCAAGCGAGGAAAGGACAAAAGTACAAAGCAATGCCTGCGCCATTGAATTTGACCTTTCTCCAATTTACAGGTTGGAATAACCTTGTTAGAACTTACTGAAATAGCAGTTAATTTAGTCCCTGGAGAATGATTGTTAATCGGTTAAATGTTTCTTTGCAGTATGTCTAAGAATTAAATTAATCTGGCTGGAAAATATAGATACAAAAAACGGAGGTCATGCACACACGACCTTCCATTCCAAAGTACGCTTAATCTAAATTCACTAACGGGGGTTAAATTAAAAATGGGATTCTTGATGGTAGAAACCAATCAAATATTTAATAGTTTCGTGATGAATGATTGACTGTCGACGTTGCAATTAACACACCTCATCATAACGATTCATCTACGTTAGGTGTTATTAATTTAGAAGCAAATTGTTTTTGACAAAATCTATGAATAGACTAGCACAAATAATGGGCTGTTAAAGATAAAACTACGGTCCCTCTTACAACAGTATTTCATGTGAATTGGACGGTAGGAAGAATGATACCCTTACGTCCACTTAAACATTCATAAGAATTGAATTTATTAAAACTGTAATGCCAGTTAAATGCATAGGCCTATAATGTGGATTAGACGTGTGTGGTGTGTGTGTGTGTGTGGAGGGGGGGGGGGGCGGTACCCTTACATTCTCTTACACATTTAGTGAATTTAATCAATATTCAATGAGAATTTTGATATATTTTTATAGATTTTTTAAGAACATGGAAATACAAATTACCTAGTATAGATATGCTCTCTGAAGTTTTAGGCATGACCTCACTAACAATGCTCAGATATACAGTAAACGAAAGCAGTACAGTTACCGCCAGTGCCATCTTTTCTCCACTACTTGCCGGAAGAAGAAACACCAGAACATTGAGAAAGGATAATAACACAACAGGAACTATAGTATTTAACACATAAAACGTTCGCTTTCTCATTAATTCTATTTTAAACGTTACACCAGTATGTGCATAACCAGGTCTGTAGGTACTAGGGTATGAATAAGCCCCGGAAGTCGCAGATGTTATATCCCATTCGCCATTGGGGATGCAGGCATCCAAACTAATATACTCCGAGCCAGGAAATATGCCTAACGTTTTGTTAGTGTGCATCCAGGTTAAGAATTTAATTTCACATGCTTGGTAATCGAATGGATATTTTCCAATGTTGACCTCACAGATAGTTTTTGTCATTATTCCTGGTTCCCAATATATCCTTCCGTTGTGATCAATACTTATCAACATGGCGGAGTTACCAAGTGCAGCAAAATTTAACGCTCTGAAATAAAACAATAGTGGTGAGATTTCAAGAAATCCCCTTGGATTCTACGACGATATGTCATAAAGAATTTGAAACAAATACGCCCCAACCCCGACTATTGATTCTGTTAGTTGCCAGATAAGAAGCGTCATTTTGTTACATGAATCTATTTGAATCTGTTACATCACATTCTTAGCGGATATTCAGTCTAACTAGGAAATCCGGTCTGATCCCAATAACACGAGTGCTTTTACAAAGGCCACTCGGAACTACCAAAGTGAGGGATATTGCCGTTTTCGTTTAATGTATGAGGCTGGTGCATTTAGGGCTGAAGCAGTTAGTAAATGAAATGGGGTTTAACGTCCTACTGTTCTGCTCCTAAACTGAGCTAATGAAGACGGGCATGCGCCATACAGTGTGCTATGACGGAAATTTTGCCCGGGCAGCGGCGCTACGGCCTACTCTTATATCGAAATCCAACTGCCAAGGGATCTTTTACGTGCACGCCAATATGTACACGGGACCTCGGTTTTTCGTCCCATCCGAACAACTAGACAGCTGTCCTTGTTAGGCCCTCCGTCCTGCATCACTGACAAGGAAAACCCACGCCGGAAAATCTGGAGCAGTCAGTAATGACTGCACAAAATACTGATTACGATAGAATTCAGGATATGTTATCGATACGTATCTAGTGTTTATAATGATATTAATTCATGCGATTAATTTTATGTGTACTAAAACTTACGTATTTTCAACCAGTAAATCCGGTAACCAAACTTCATTTTGAGAAACAGTGATATCCGCTACACCCCCATAATCTGACTTATTCCACCGTAAAAATTCATCATGCCATTGCTTAAAAACAAAAAAAGAGAAATGTCTTATTAAATAATTTTTGATACAGATCTTCGAACAATGATTTTAATCTTTACTTCGGTTTTATTGGTCATGCCAAAATGTCACCATGGTCAACTCATAACGTAGGTGAACGGACATGCAACATCTGGTGTTTCTTCTTGGGATTCAGATGGATATCGACACCAAACCACATATTGTTAAATATATCAAATATTCCACCCAGATGTCATTTGGGAACTGGTATTAAATGTTTCAGAGGGAGATTGTTGTATCCTCGGACAATTTTGCACTAAACCAGGCCCCAAGTTCACAAAGCATTCTCAGACTTAAGTTAAGAATTTACTCAACTTTCAATCACTATTTATGAGAAATATCTTTCATCCAGAAACACAAAACTTTGCACTTAGTGTCCTATTGATTAACTTGATAAATTAAAACAACAAGAGGTTTATAAAGGGCTATATTTTAGTTAAAATAAGGCGAACAATTTTGAGTAAATTCTTAACTCAAGTCTGAGAATGCTTTGTGAACTCTGGGCCAGCACCGTAGCCTAATTCCTTATCCTTATATATATTTCATTTTTATATACAAAAATGTCATAAATATTACCATTCTGAATTAGTCTTATTATTTATTTTATTCACGTGACCTAAAAAACATTTCAGATGATTGAGAGGCCTAAATATAGGTCGGAAGAAATTTGTCGCACAGATCGTATCACACAGATCGTGTGTTCAGTGTTGGTCATTTTATAGAGGTTTCGGGGTCAGTATTAGTATCATCAGGAGACAAGAAGTCAGTAGATGAATTATCACTATCACTATTTTGTTAATCTGTCACTATCAAATCTATTTACAGACTGTATTAGTACTGATTAAAACGTGACTCAAATAACAACACATATAAACACTATAGTAATACAAGAAATCAAAGTAATCAGGTTAACCTGACAAGATGAAGACATCCATTATACAAAAAGTATAACGAAATAGTTTAAAGATAGACATGCCTCAAATAAAGAGGTGGTATCAGGTCTTGTATTACTAAATACAAGTCGACGTTTTCACAACTCGAACCCGGTTATGAAATCTCTAATTGGCGCTTTGAACACTTTACGTCCAGACAACAACGGCTGGTAGCAGCGCAGTTGTGCCCACAATACGACAGCGAACTTCACTTGTTCAGGAACCCAGGAGGCTACTAGGTATTCAAAGGATTGACATATTAAGAGACATATTAAACACCAGACTACATCCAATAGTGTCTGTTTTGTAATAGCATGATTGGGCTAATTACTCCAATTTCAGAGTACAAATTCTAGCAATATTGACAATTCTGTTATCTTTAATATCTAGGCCAATGCCACTTATATACACGAGTTTCGAATTAATATCTAAATTACACCGTCATCAAACATATATCTTTTTGAAAATTTGTAATTATAGGACTTTCCCCTGGTTTAATTTGGCAACAGACTTAATAGAAGCAATTGATTGGGTGTACTTAGATAAACCATCAATATCAAGGTTGTTGCTACGGTATCGAATCTATCTAGAGATTACACGCTAGTCACAGCTATCTTAGTAATGCCATAAACGTCATTCATGAAAATCTTGGAATTATCTACAGGGTCCCCACTTTTCCTAATGAATAATTTTACCATAAAATCATACACGAATAATCCACGAAATACCAGTGATGTGTAAAACTATTGTTAAATCGGCGCCTAATGAGGACAGTGGTAACGTCTTATCGACGGACTGTCATCATCACCTCAAGTTTATTATTACCGGCATCGGGAAAAACAGCAACAAATCAATGGAGGAGACAGTATTCTAGTCCAAGTTTTTATTTTACACAGTAATCGTGCTAATAATGGGATTGTTTTGTCTTGTAAACAGAACAATAGGAGTGACGTAAATTACTGATATACCATGTCGTCTGCATGGTTATTAGCAGACGTGGATAGATGGTACATAAGATGATAAACACATCCCAGATAAACAACTCCATCCTCTTTCTTAATTATGTGTAGATCATTCAATGTTTATCATTAAATAAGAAAGGTGCTGTTTAAAAATTTAAAAATCTGACACAAACATATTATAGATATTGATTATTACCAACACACGATATTTACAGTTTAATCTAAGTTTATTATGACAGCACATAATGGCACGAAATGATATGTTGTCACTGCAGAAGAAATAATTTCAGTATAAATAATTCAGCCCTAAAAAAAGCCGGTGTATTAATTTGATTCATCTATAACGAATCACTTAAATGCAATAGAATATTGTTAACATATTATGATAAGTTGTGACTAAAGGTTGTAATTAATTTGCTAATATTATAGCGCCAGAAAAAATACAGTTTGTGTATTGATTTTGAATTATCAATAAGTAATCGATATAATGTGTAAGAATCTTTTATTAAATATCGCGGGGATCGAATCGTTCGGTTATTCATGGGAATTATTCTTAATTTAGCGGACTGGTATAAATATATACCGTTCATATCTATGTACATTGTCCATACATGTGGGATGATAGTCTTTAATTAGTGCGTAGGTGTTTAGAACAAAGTGTATAGTTGAAATGTCAATATCAATATATTATCAAAACCAGCTAGGATCAATAAGTTCACTGCATCTAAATAATAGTTCTTATTTTATACCATAGACAATTTTATGAAAGTTATTGAGCACTTCCTCACACTGGTTAGTAACGCCATATCTATTCAGGTGACAGCATTCTTTGAAAACTACCAAACGACACATTTAAACGGAGCAATTGTGTCATTGTGTTCAAGGCATCTGTTCCAGACAGTATTATCCCGAACGATTTAAAAGTCTAATTGTTCGCCAGATGGCTTTTGTGTTTCTGCTACGTAGTTAGAAAACAAGAATTATGGGGCAATCTAATCAAGTATATCCTTCAAATTGGCACATTAATACCAAAGGTGGAAAGGGTTTAGAAAAACAGTAATAAGCTCAAATAACGTTGTCATGCATTCTAAATTTTGTTTTGGTTTAATCTTAAGATCGAGATGGGGAGATATGTAGCACAAAGTTCTTACTCTTAGTCATATACATATCCATAATTACTCCTTTCGTGCGTTATAACAAAACCCTTCAATTTATGTACTGAGCAAGAAAAATATTATCAGAAAACTCGACGATATTCCGTAATAAGAATTCCCGACGTAAGAGATTAACGGTAGGTCTATTAGAGATGTCATATGATTGATAAACGCGATCCAAGGCTTTGACAACTACTGAAACTATTCAATAACGACAGAAGGATACGGACTACAACTAAACTAACAAAGCCACTGATGTTTTACGGAGAGAGAGAGAGAGAGAGAGAGAGAGAAAAAAAAGAGAGAGAGAGAGAGATGGGGTTTAACACCCACTCGACACAAACTAGTTCATTTCGGGACTAACATATGGTTTATTTTTTTTATTTCAATAATTGGCTTGTGCGTAGGGGTCTTTAGCAGTGGGAGGAAACCGGAGGACCCGGAGAAAACCCACGAGGTTGGGCAGGCGACCCTACTCCTTGTCACGTACAACAGGGGATTCGAAACCACGCCAATTGACTCAATGCCAGGCCTTATGATACAGCGCGCACGTGCTAACCATTCGGCCATCCAACCACCCGATGTTTTACAGACCACATACAGAAACCGAAAGGCTTCAGCACCATTTAATTAAATGCACATTTGGAAAGAGTAATTCTGCGAATGCAGGTTTATCCACTTGCAAAAAGCAGTGTATAATCTGATTGAACCCATCAACTTCTTTTTATTTGTGCTTAAGCCTAGCTCACCACCCGCCGTGCCTGCCACTACGAGGAACATTTATTCTACACTGAAAAAACACTTGTGTTGGATCTCAACACAAGTACTTGTGTTGAAACTAATCTACACAAGTTGTGTGTTGTTTTGCATTGCATTAACACAAACTTGTGTCGATTTATAAAATCTTGTGTTTTTTTCATATCATTAACACAAGTAATGTGTACCTTCCAAGATTTGTTTTCTTTTTAAAAAAAAAACTCCATACAAAGTCTGAATTCGGGAGTCGTCAAGTTTTAAGAAAAGTAATAAAGGGCTTAATTCACATCTCGAAAATCACATGCTGTTCTTCACTGGAAGGGTGTGAGTACCAATTAATCAGACAATTGCCAGACAGACTTGAATGTTAATTGATGTTAAGTTGTCTGTAAAGTTAAAATGTCTGTCTTTTTTTATTGACCCAATAAACTGATAGATCATATGAATATATAGTGTACATGTGATTTTCAGCACCCTGGTGTTTTCGAAAATTGATTCAATGTACAATGAACAAAAAAAATGAGTAAAACTCTTAATAATGTAATTGGTTGATGTAATCGAAATTGGACAGTATTGGTTAACTGAAAAGTAACCAATCAAATTTAATTGATCATCCACGTGTATCTCATAATCGACTTATTGATATAATGGTTCTCCAAGTTATCTATACTTTTTGTCTGCGATATCACTTCGGTGGAAGCGGACGTAAAATACAACTAACTAAGAAGAAGTATCTATACTTTAGTCATTGCGACAAATTCTTTCTTTGATATTATATCAGCGACATTCGGTTAGATAGATGTAGTGAAGTTAGCATCAACAGGGTGCTTTAGCCGTGATATTTTAAAAAAAATTATAATGGTCACATAGAATACCAGACCGCAGGTTTGTAAATTTTTACAAAAAATAAAACCGTGTATTTAATTTAGCATGTATATATTGCTTCTATGTATATAATAATTCGTTCGGTTAAAACAGTCAGATTTAGAACTACTGCCACTGACTGCACCGGAAGTCTATTTATATAATGGCGCCACAAAGAAAATTTTTTTGATGTGTTCTAAAAGTGTTCCGCTAATTCAGCAATCTAATGAATCTGTCTTAATTTTTCTGAAATCGTGCTTAATATTATTAGCTAATCGGCGCTACACCGTTGTTCAAATACTTATAATTGCAAGAAACCCCCGACTAGGACCAGCAGGTAAGAATCTGTCTTGATTTTATAGTAATACCCGGTTGCAATTATTGGCCGCCATCTTTGATTTTTATAGACGTTCGGCAAAAGGAGAAATGTATATCCAGACATGGACTATAGCTAGATACTAACTTTTGTGTTAGTTGTTTAGTTGAAATGTAATCTTATTTCTGTAAAAGAAAAAAACAACAACAAACAAATCAGCCTTTTTTTTATATCAATGTCATCAATGTGTAGGCCTAATATTAGACTTTCAATGATTCACTAGTTTCTCTACAGTTTCGTTATTTTTTTTTCCAGTCATTGATGTTAGCATGTATTACACAAAGAAAAACAGGTAACAGAATTTCATTTCCTTTTAATATATTTTTTTAATAATGGCCAATAATTGTTATTGTATGTAACACGAAAAGTATTTATCTCTGTAGAGAGAGGGCGAGTAAATGGGGTTTAAAGTTCACTAAATTCACTTGACACAAACTATGCCATTCATTTCCTTGTATTAAATTGGTCGAATCAAGTAGGTCCATGCTATATATATGTCCTAGAATCAAGTAGGACAGGTAGTCTTCTTCCGCCCTTTTTCTGAATACTGTCTCATTCTATTGCCATCTGTGTATGTTGTGTTATATTAATTCTGCATAATTAACTCTAGTTAACCCAGTTAACTCTATAATAATAAATGAATTTAATATATAAATAAATAAATAAAATATAAATAAACTAATAATATATTTGTAGTTTAATATGTTTTATCTTATCATTACAGGCAAAGCATGAAGCCAAAGGAAATGTTTTTACCAAGGCATGTTCCTCAATAGCGGAGAGAGTTTTATCCAGTGTCGGTTCTGCAGAAGAACCCATTCATAGCAGACCACCCATTGCAGCACTTGTAAGGTCGCTATAAATAACCCGACAGACTCTGCGACCAAAAGATCCCACTAACGTGTCGTCAAGCGTAAGTACTCATGCAATTAAATACCCATGTATATAAGAATTTATTAACATGTAATTAAATGTACAATTTTATTTATTTATTAACATGTACTTAAATGTACTTTTTTATTTATTTTTTGTTTTAGCTTGACGAAGATTTCATCGATCATAGTGCACCGGGATTTTATCAAAAAAGAGTAAAAGTTGGGGAAAGGTGCCATCACATTTTTTGTACTGATAGACAGATGCAACTACTCGCACGCGCAAAAACTTGGTATATGGATGCAACTTTTCGGGTGGTGAACAAGCCATGGTCTCAGCTGTTTTCCATACACGCCTTCATTAAGACTGGAGAGACCACCCGACAGTTACCATTGGTGTTTTGTGTAATGTCGGGTAAAAGCCAAGACGACTATTATAAGGTAAATAGCACTTACTGATTGAATTACTATTAATAGTAAAAAAGGACTATTATTTGGGACCTTGAAATTGTCACAAATGGGTCGCACTAACAGCGACATTTGTTTCAGGCATATTTGTTTCATCGGTGACACGTCTGGTGTCATGTGAATGCAACGACAACAGCCTGGTTGATTGATTTGTTGATTGGAGTTCAGATGTCTACATTAAAATCGACCACTTTCAGGTTGCCGTATTCACGGCCAGGCAAGACCGACTTGAAATTTCTAGAAATTTTTCTGGGGGAGACAGGCCCCAACAAATCCCCCGACGGTGCGTTTCACGACTTTGGCGCAAGACGGTGACCTTGAAGAGACGTCGAAAACCATTTAATAGACATAGTAAAAGTCATATCTTACGAGATTATCGCTGGTCTTGTCAGAAAATGCTATTTTATATATGACCAGTTTGTGTTTGAAAAATTTAATTATTTATTCTCCCACCATTAAAGCACACTAATTACGAAATATCGCTCTCAGAAACTTCATGGTTTCTTTTGCAATTTGTTTGGGGTAAGACGTTATATAAATAATATCAATCTGTCTACCACACAAATTTAACAGATACAAATGCATGTTATTCCACAGGTAGACAGACAGGGCCTCCTTTGAAGGGACTCAGTGAAGGGAACGCGGTTGGTTTAGAGTTTGTCTGACCCCTTTGAATATTTGCGTCTCATCTCCAATGAAAACAATCATGTTGCTCTCATGCTGTTCTCAACCAGAATCAAACATATATCGTACCTGAGATTTGTTAGCATGTTCCACACAACCCAACATTTATCGGCACCGGGATTAAGGGTGTATATCTTTGTTTCTAACGCTTATTGGGAATACGCCACGGAAACTACAATAAAAACTTATTTACAAAAACATTCTAAAGAGGGAAAACTGACATATTTCAAGCTTTACTGTATTTAAAGAAATAATTTAAATCAGCCGGCTGAAACCCCGTCTCCGCTATTTGTTCAGTCATTCTTTAGGTATAGTGCCAGTTTCAACCGACAATGATATTGCAAACAAGTGTCCAATCTATAAAAGCATACATTCCTACAAAATGTTTCTTTAGTCAAGTGAAACAATAAATACATAACTATGCGAGGGTGTGGTGAGTAAATTCGTGGTAACGTGAATAGGCTAATGTGACATAGAACAAGGTCACATTGATGTTGACAAATACGTAAGACGATATGAACATCAACTAAAAAGATATGCATATATGCAGCATAGATAATTAAAACTTCTATTCAAGTTAAACCAACTGTATCTATTTATTTAAGTCTTACGTCGAGCTGAATACATTTTATGATTTATTTTCATCTATTGGTGGTTAACAGTGTGTAACTAAAAACTAAAATTGGATCTTATTATTGCCAATGATATAATGTACATGTAATAGCAAGTGTATATATATTTTTTGTTCAGTCTGTACACAGTAACATATCTGAGAACCATATTATTATCATTTCTGCCCAAGGCTCCCTGTGCCTTATAGTTAGCAGTGATACAAGGCAATTACCAATTTTCCATGTTCTTTGCCTGAAGAAATAAAATAATAAAAGTCAAGTTTTTATTATTATGCAAGTGGAAAAATACAATTATTCATAGTATGATTTGAATAAACACAACTGTTTTGAAGTTGGAATTATTATTTGTCTAAGATGACTGGGCATTTACAAATTGAAATAGCTACTCTTCAATAAGAAAATACATTAATATTTTTCCCAATTCACCTGGATTTTATTGTAGGTCTTTGTACGTGAAATAGCTTTATTTAACGTCCGCTACCACCGAAGTGATATTGCAGAAAATTAACAAATTCGGATTCCCTTTTAAAGGAAATTGACTTCACTATTGCTGGATTGTATTATATAGGTCATGTCAGTTTTTTTTCAAAATGGCGCCCAGAACACAAAACAAACATTGCAATTCAGGGCTGACTGGTGTCGAGGCTGTATCCTAAGAATGATTTTTTGAATATTTAATCACACAGAAACACAAGTATGCACATGCAGTTATGATATAATATTAAATTAGCTTACCTCAAATACCTCGAAATATACTGTTTGGTCAGTTTGTCCGCCCGCCATATTTCTATTAGTCACACATCCTTCGGCCAATTAAAATGGACGTATATTTTGTTTTAACCGAAACGAAAAATTTGCGTTATAAATAGTAAACGAGCTTGATTGACAGACCACTGCTAATGTTTTTTCGTGAAACGGTATAACACACGGCCGCCATTCTCGATGATTGACAACTCACATTTTTCCTCATCCACCAAAGAACCGTTAGGTTTCTTTGAACATACTGTAATAACATTGGGATTATCAGTTAATCAGCTTTAATTATCCCGCTTTGATCGTTGCCATTTCTTATATTTTCCACAAAAAAACTTTGCCTTGTACGCACTAATTTATCAATTGGTATTGCCATCTACGACAAACATGTCAACGTGCAGCTCACGGATTATCGTTAACAATTTCTAGGGGCTTGTAAAAAAAGATTGCATGTCGTGTAAATATTTATTTTGTTTTTTGTGTAGGTCATTTTCAAATAAATTCATCAGCATATTATTCGTTTTAAATAAATATAAAACTTTTATGAGAAACGATGATTATCAAAGAACCGTAAGTGCAACTAATGTTTTATCGTTTGGTTGAGCCTTTTACCAACCACGTGTTTCATGTTAATAAATATTTTCTTTCGTGTTTTGTTTGAATTGGCCTATTTCTAATAAATTATCCCGAGTCTCAAACGTCGTTAACCCGAGTCCCAAACGACGTATACCGGAGTCCCAAATGTCGTGGTCATATTTTTTTGAGTCCCAAATGACGCGAGTCCCAAATGATGTGAGTCCCAAATGACATGTAATCAACCTAGAGTTGTTGTTAGTGTTTGTCGGATAGATCCTTTATACTTACTGGCGCTAGGTAATTTCGAGGCTAATATTGTTCAATTTTATTTGAATGATTTGCTTGCGCGTACCGTAGGAGTGTATTAGAAACAGTGTTTGCGCAGGTTCGAGAACGGCTGAAGAACATGAAAACACTTTCATGAGTCTCGAACATGAGAGAACGGTATCCAATGGTAACAAGATGAATTAAATTCATACAATCTGTTACGATAACTTGTTTAGTATTTACTTCGCTATTAAGCATAATTTTGATAAATTATGACACCGTTTTACTCCTTTTCAATTCTTTGGATGACGATTACATCACCTTTTGATACGCTCTCGTCCGTAGGTTTGTCCATCGTCTACAGAACTGATTATTTTAAAATTGATATGTTGTTTATTTTAATGAGATGAATCCTATTTAATTTCAATAATTTCTGTTAGTTTCTTCTGGAGTTATGGCCCTTGTTTCACTTTGTGAAATTCATTTGAATCTTTTAAATTAGTGAAACGAAGACGTCTATTAAATTTCTGCGATTTCTGTGAATTATGTCTAGAGTTGTGGCCCTTGTTTCACTTTGTCGAACCTTGTGAACGCACGAACAACAAAATTATCATCCGATTTGTATGAAAATTGTATGCATTATTTAAATTAGTAAAACACAAAACAAAAAAATCTGTCAAATTTCAACAATTAAGGCCCTTGTTTCAGTTTGTAGAACCTTTGTAAACCCACAAACGACAAAAGTTATAATCTTGTATGAAATTTTCTTGTAAATGCCCAAATTACCTACAAAAGAATGAATATGCGACAATCCCTGTTGACTGCGCAAACGATTAAACTGCTGTGGGCATATGTTTCGTTGCCTGGCAACCTAACTTACTTCATGTTATACTGGCCACATACTACATCCAATTTTCGAACGGTATTAAACTTCTAAATTAATAAATGCACCCATGATGCTGTTTTCTCAGCAGTTATCGATGCGTCGACCTTTGTAAACCCACAAACGACGAAAATTATAATCTTGTATGAAATTTTCTTGTAAATGCCCACATTACCTACAAAAGAATGAATATGCGACAATCCCTGTTGACTGCGCAAACGATTAAACTGCTGTGGGCATATGTTTCGTTGCCTGGCAACCTAACTTACTTGATGTTATACTGGCCACATACTACATCTAATTTTCGAACAGTATTAAACTTTTAGATTAATAAATGCACCCATGATGCTGTTTTCTCAGCAGTTATCAATACGTCGACCATGTTTGTTCTCCCTCACACCAGCTATGAAGTAGTGTGGGATTTGAGAACGGGAATGTGTTCGTGAACGTTCTCTGCACCGGAACACTGTTTCGAATACACCCTAGGGGTATTTAGGAAAGGGAGGAAACCGGAGGACCCGGAGAAAACCCACAAGGCTGGACAGGCGACCCTATTCCTAGTCACATTCAAGTGGGGAATCACATAATAATGGCCTATTTCAAATAAGATATTTGCATATAAAGAAAGAAGGCTTACAGCCTCTTTCAAATGTGATATTTGCATATAAAGAAAGTACAAACTTAAATCGTCAGTGCTGGATAAACTAGCCAAAGGATTTGGCTGAATCAATTGGCGCTAAACTTCACCTAGTTTATCCACTGACATACGCCCGAATCAAACATGTTTGATATATTTGGCCAAATTGTATTTGAGTGGTGTGTCCGCTTCGCCGAAGCATTCGTCTGATTTTAGAATTCATTAGCCAATCACCACTCATTCATATCGAGTGGGTATCGCAAACTAGCAGTCGAACTGTGACACGGGTGCTACAGCCAACAAATTCCAACTACCATACTATCGGCTTAAATGCACGCCAATGGGACCTCAGGTTTTGTGTTCCATTGAAACGACTAGAAATGAAATGAAATGGGGTTTAACGTCCTACTGTTTTGCTCCGAACTGGGCTAATGAAGACAGGCATACACCACACAGTGTGCTATGAGGGAAATTTTGCCCGGACAGCGGCACTGCGGTGTATCGAATTCCAACTGTCAAGGGATCTTTTACGTGCACGCCAACGTGTACACGGGACCTCGTTTTTTCATTTCATCCGAATGACTAGACAGCTGTCCTTGTCAGGCCCTCCGTCTTGCATCACTGACAAGGGGGAACCACGCCGGGAAATCTGGGTGAACTTTCTCGGCCAATGCAGGGATCGAACACCCGACCTCCAGGCTAGCGAGCCAGCGTCTTACCCACTTAGCCACCATGACGACTAGGCATGGAATCCATGCTGAAAAATTCAAATGAGCTTTCTCGTTCACTGGGAGCGAACCCGCAACCTCCCGGGTACCAAGCCAGTGCCTTTCACACTAAGCCACATGACTCTCTTCTAATTACTGTGACAGTCCAGTCACATGACAATCAAGGGTTATTAAAACAGATTTTCAAGGCTTGGGTAAGATCTTCGGGATTCAAATGGTTTTAGATATCACACAGTTTGTATATGGTAAGGTATCTTAAACAGTTTATTACATGTCACATATTCATATTTTTCAGTTTCCATATTAGATGCCATAGCAAATCAAAGATCATATAATAAAATAAGTCAAAAAACCCAAATATGGAAAAAGAAAGAGCTGAAGAAATGGTGATTTGAGCACCTATGCTTTCTCATAGGTGTTTTTGGAGGGTGAGTGTTCAATTCTAATAGAAAAGATTGTTGTTATGGTATTTTAGAATCTCACCATAATGTGTTTGGCACAATATATCCCGGTTGGAGCTGATGTGACATAAACCTCCATTTCATTTCATTGTTTTGAAATTTAAAATTCAGTTTAGTATAGTAAATTTGTACACGTACATGTATGTACACAAACAGAATCTTACTTATGTCCAGATACATGTAGATATGACTGTCTCATCTGTGGGGGACCACGGTGGCCAAGTGGGTTAGACACTGACTCGCATATTTTAAGGTCGCGGGTTTGCAGTAAGACATTGCAGTACGGAGGACTGGGCTAATGAAGTTGGGCATATGCCATACAGTGTGCTACGAGAGAAATTTTGCCGGGTACCGTGACCTTAAGGCCTTCTCTTGTATCAAATTCTAACTGCCAGGGGATCTTTTACATGCACACCAATGTGTACACGGGACCACGTTTTTTTGTTCAATCTGAATGACTAGACAGCTGTCCTTGTCAGGCCCTCCGTCCTGCATCACTAACAAGAGGAAACCACGCCGGAAAATCTGGGTGAACTTTCTCGGCCAATGCAGGGATCGAACACCTGACCACCAGGCTAGCGAGCCAGCGTCTTACCCACTTAGCCACCATGACGACTAGACAGGGAATCCATGCTGAAAAATCCAAATGAGCTTTCTCGGTCAACACTGGGAGCGAACCCGCAACCTCCCGGGTAGCAAGCCAGTGCCTTACACACTACAGCCACATGGCTCTCTTTTAATTACTGTGACTCTCCAGTCACATGACAAACAAGGGTTATTAAAACAGATTTTCATGGTTTAGGTAAGATCTTCGGGATTAAAATGGTTTTAGATATCACACAGTTTGTATATGGTAAGGTATCTAATTACATGTCACATATTCATATTTTTCAGTTTCCATATTAGATGCCATAGCAAATCAAAGATCATATAATAAAATAAGTCAAAAAACCCAAATATGGGAAAAGAAAGAGCACATGTATGTGCACAGACAGAATCTTACTTATGTCCAGATACATGTAGATATGACTATCTCATCTGTGGGGACCCATGGTGACCAAGTGGGTTAGACACTGGTTTGCATCTTTTAAGGTCGCGGGTTTGCAGTAAGACGATGCAGTACGGGGGGCCTTACAAGGACAGCTGTCTAGTCGTTCAGATTGAACAAAAAAACGTGGTCCCGTGTACACATTGGCGTGCATGTAAAAGAGCCCCTGGCAGTTAGAATTTGATACAAGAGTAGGCCTTAGGGTCACGGTACCCGGCAAAATTTCTCTCGTGGCACACTGTATGGCATATGCCCAACCTCATTAGCCCAGTCGAAGCTGAACAGTAGGACGCCAAACCCCATTTCATTTCATTTTTTCATTTTGTCTCATCTGTGACAAAGCAAACCAACACATTACAATACAATTTAATTAAATTAAAACTTTCGTCTATTTAAATATTGAATCGATTTAAGTCAACTAAAACATAGTATGTTCTTTTTCTCAGTTAACTACATCAGAAAGATCAAGACAGTTGGAAATGGCTATTCATATTATGGAAACTTTTTCTCACAGAGCTTGATAATCAGGTAAAATGTAAGTAACATACATATTTGTATTTTTAATCATCAACTAGTTCTATACACTTGATTGGTAATCTAGTTATTCTTCTTGGGGCAATGCCTAGGACTCTCCTATTCAAGTCTTGGCATTCTTGATTTTTGACAATCACATCCATTGATTTTCTTAAAGTTGTGATAGACCCTATGTGTATTTTTACAGTAAATAGCAGTATAAAAATGGACAATATTTTACTTTTCAAATAGATTTTAATAGGTAATATCCAATTTGTTGTCGATGGAAATAAAATATAATAATCTGCCTGGGTCTGTTACTGGACAAGACACAATAAGTGTTACCCAAAGATGAAACAAAATAGAGACTCAGTCTCAATGTGGCAAAATAAATTGTTTATTTAAACATTGTGAACCATAAATAGTAAGAAAGTATTCTTATTGCCTACTTTTTATTTTTTAGGCTGGAAGATTATTTGATGTATGATAACAACAAGAGATCCCAAGCATCAATTTATTTTATAATTCTGGAAAAGAATGCATTTGACCCAATTTTTGAATATTTTTTTTTGTTTTTACTGTTAAATATTCATCCCAAACACAATTAGATTTTAATTCTCTACAGAAATTTATGTATAATATAGAATGTAAAGTGACATATAAATCACTTAGAATTTGGTCGGAAATCATAAAGTATTTAATAGGCATAGTCTAGAAACCAAATGTAGATCAAATATACCCAGAATTACAAAAAACCTTGACCTACATTAAGGTGACTTTCCCTTGCTTATGAAATGAAATAGGGTTTAATATCCTACTTTTCTGTGTTATTATGGTGATTCTGCCCTACAACCTACTCTTATATCAAATATTTCAACTGTCACGGGTTGTTTAAAGGGAATCCAGGAGGGCCGAATGGTTAACACACGCACATTGGATCAGAAGGGTCTGTCATTGAGTCAGATAATTCAATTGTCAAGGGTTCTTTAAAGTAAACGCAGTGGGGGTAGTTTCAATTCTGGGCTTATACCCAATTATCCCTTGCCATGTCCTACACTACTGACGTGTGGGAACTATGTCGGAAAATCCAGTTGAAATTTCTCGGCCAATGCACTCACTGAACCACAGTGGCTCCTCCTTGCTTTTGACTTGTGATTATTTATATATATTTTGTACATATTATTTAATGTTTGCGATTTTCTCTGATATTTTTTTATTTTTCAATCCTGTAATCTTGATGCTTTGCTCCTTTTATGTACAAAATATTCATTTTGTTTGAGGAAAAGGTTCTACATCATTTTATTACTCCTGCAAAATAGTGCATTTTTCTTTTGTTAGTTTTCTGTGTATGCTAGTTATTTCTAGATGCCTCACAAATCACTTGTAATATGACTTTGTAGCACTTTTCAGTTTCTGAAAGTATTTCAATTTAGTGCATAATTAATCTAATTAGGGCTTGGTTTGGATGTTATTAAATTTAGATATATTTGAATTATATATTTTTGGGGTATGGGGTAGGGATCTTTCTTTTCTCAGTTCTTGTTTTCGGGTAAAGAAAAAATTAAATAGCTATTTTGTATTTTGTGATGTGGGGGGGGGGCAAAGTACAACAAAATTTTTGAGACAAACGTGAGACAAACGTGTCACTTTCGTGTGTTCGGCACTGTAGAAGATCGCAGACTGGCCGCAGAGACTGTTGGTCCTTCACCCGGTTTCTTTCGACTGGTCTGCGAGTTTCCAAATCCTACGACCTGTGTTTGTCAAAACACGTACGGTGGATTATGGCCTAGGCTTTAGATATTTAGATATTGTTCAGATTAAAGATACATTATGGGAGATTAGATAAAGAGCTGGCAGTTCTCACTATAATAGTTAAAAGCTAGATAATGTAAAGGCAATTTGCTGAAAATTTCAGTCAAATTGATCCACCCTGAACCGAGATTTTAGCGATTGAATATTCGGCCCAGCCTCGATCATCATTACTAAAGTCGGTACAATAAAAAATATATATTCTCGATTATTTATTTCATGATTAAATTATAAATGAAAGTTCGGCAGCAAATCGGATCTTAATCCAATAAATATCGCGGACTAACGATGACATTTGGATAACATTTCAGGCCAAAAGAAAGACCCGCAAGAGATTTAGCTCTTGCATAATGCATGTTTAAGTAAACAAAAACATGCCTGAGAATTATATTGTTGTATTATCTACGACAAGCTAATCGCTGTGAAATAAAATAAATGACCTTCGAGAATTTTCTTGTTAAAATTGCAGATGCTCATGGGATGACGAAGACGTTTCTTGGTGGAGTAAATGACAAAATATTTTTTATTTGATACAATATTTGACACAGGAGAATTTTTAAATACCACCTGCCTCCACCACATACCCTTCCCATCAGATATCGTATATAGAATGATGGTTCGTAAAACACGTTTTATAAGCAAGACCTTATATTATCTGGGAGTTGTATGGTGGTCTCTGCGTAATCACCAATCAAGTACATAGGTACAATAACATATACAGGTACCAGTTTGTTTCTCTCCTTTATAATCGTGTTGATTGGCGTTTGTGTGCTGGCTGCGGCACCTTCTGTGCAACCAACCTTACCAATAGCAGTGGCTTATCATATAAAGGTGTACACCGTTTGAAATGTATTACTGCAACTCAGTGCACTGGCACACTTATATGGAACCCTGTAGAAACTATTTTTTGCTAGTTGAGTACTTACCATGTTTAACCAGCCACTAGTTGTTAAAACTTGATTCCTCATGTCCTGTAAAATATATACGGTAACAATGTATTTAAATATAATACAGAAAATAAATGTTCATACATATAGATCATCGCATAATCAGTGAAACATAGACTAATTTGTCCAGACCATTATTCAATACCGTAGAAGTCGAGACACTTTCTGTCGGAGCGATCGCAAACACGATCGTTGCAGCTGAATCTGAGCCAGTTTCTACCGGGGGAACGCGATATAAGCGGGAACTACTGTTGTATTCGAAGCAGGACAGTTTGGGCAGGGGCGATCGTAATATTTAGTGGGGTCACAATGTGAGCTGGACTAATTTATTGTCTTCTTATAACCAGTATGTTTAACCCAGATAACTCTATAATTTAAAGATACATTATGGAAGATTAGACAACGAGCTGTCAGTTCTCCTATAATAGTTAAATAATAGATAATGTAACGGCGATAGACTGGAAATATCAGCAAATTACTTAACTTTAAGTCGAGAAACATTCATTTTAATAACATTATAGCCTCGAATGTCATTGTTACCGTTATAACGATAATAAACAAAGTCCCGATTATCCACTTTTGCGGTTAATCGCCAATAGCTGTTGAACGGTAAATCGGATTCAAATCAATGAAAATCGAAAGCATCGAGCATTGATTATGGTCTTGCCATGTTATCAAATGTCTAATTGATAGTCTATATAACATTTTATGTCTAAAGAGAGGCCTGCAATAGGAAGATTTAGCCCCTGCATAGTGTAGGTTTAAGTAGATTTAATAAAGCGAATGGAATTTTGTCAGCTGTAGTTTATCTTATGGTTAACTGTACCGACAGTGGAACGCAAAAACAATTATATTTTAACACAAGATTTATCTATAGACGTAAACATTCAATGAAGAGCGATAAATTAGTATAATAAAATCCAGTGAAATGAACAAATTTTGACTAGGTGTTTTAGTGCATATGGGGAATAAGTGGGGATCCCATATATTAATTTTAAACCATATAAATTGTTCCTGGCTCAAACCACCCGATAGGAATTTAAATATACAACTCACCAGATCATGTATCATCAGGAGAAACATAGATATTTTTACATTTACAGCTTTAGATTGGTTATAAACTGGGGGAATAACTCTCCGATATTTTCTAAATAAATCTGCGTGGAGGCGACTTACGTCATCAATATTGGCTGCAAAAACTAGAAATAAAAAAAAGTTGATAAATGGGAAAATAGTTGAATAGGATAAATAGATTTTTACAAGTAATTACTCGTGTATGTGGAAATCTCTGGTAATAAATTGTGGGATTTGATGAATTCTCATATTATTGTTGTAAAAAAGAAGAGTCTTTACAACTAATTCTTTGTTTATTCGTTATTTTTTATGGTTAACAATCTAGAATCTATGATTTATTATTGACTAAATATTTTTTGCATCTTCATTGCTTTGCACTGATATAAAATGTTTTTACACACTTAATTAAACTCTATTAACATTATGTTTCAATTTAATTTAATTTAGCTTTATATTGAATTTGTCCTCCGCCTGTCAAAGAAAGCAGGCAACTATATTTAATTGAGTTTGTTTGACTGTTCGCCTGTCTGTCCGTTACAGTTTTGGCAACACATTAACGTCTTAGTGTGCTGGAATGTTGGGATTGAATCGGGAGGGAGTGCGGGGCTGATCTGCTAACACCACAAAATCTAAGAAAAGTCACATGATCGCAAATGATTTATAAAATGGTGGCGTACAGTAAAGTTAAGAAAATTGCCATAGTTATGATTCTCTTGTTTAGTTGAGGGGTTGGATGGCCGAATGGTTAGCACGTGCGCGCTGTATCATAAAGCCCGTCATTGAGTCAACTGGCGTGGTTTCGAAGTAGGGTCGCCTGTCCAATCTCTTGGCTTTTCTCCGGGTCCTCCGGTTTCCTCCCACTGCTAAAGACCCCTACGTGCAAGCAAATTATTGAAATAAAATTAAAACCATATGTTAGTCCCGAAATGACCTAGTTTGTGTCGAGTGGACGTTAAACCCCATTTCTCTTTCTCCCCCCCCCCTCTCTCTCTCTCTCTCTCTCTCTCGATCTCGTGTTTAGTTAGTTTACTGTTTTATCGCCACCTATTGTATACTATTCAAAAAAAGTAGGGGATATTTGATTTTGGGGGCATAATACTAAAATATGCAAATGACTACGAAAAAAGTCACTATAGAACCTAACAGAAGAAACATTTCCAATTACATGTGACGCCCAAACGCACCAATAGCTACCGCATGGAATGCAGGTGATGCTTGGGATCATCATGGGGGTCCAACCCAAGATTTGCACGACTCTGACTTTGAATGTTACAGTCATTGTGGCATTGAATTCCAGGGTGGAAACATCAGTTTAATTGTTTTAGTGACCAGAAAACAAATTTTGATATGCGTCGGCTTACCCAAAATGAAAGGTTACGTGCCCTTGGCATGCTACAGATCGGCACAACACAGGCGGTTGTGGCGCGGACGATGAATGTTTCTCAGTCTGTCATAAGCAGGCTATGGTCCAGATACCGTGATACACAATCTGTACAGGACAGACCACGCTCAGGTCGACCAAGGGCGACAACTCAAGCCCAGGATCGATTTATCCGTACCTTGGCCTTGAGAAATCGTGTCATCACAGCAAATCAGATCAGCGCTCGTCTTCAAACAGACACTGGTGTGAGAGTGAGTGGCCAGACGATTCGGAATCGACTGCATAGGGGTCACCTTCGCGCCCGACGTCCTCGCGTGATCCCTTGTTTGAGAGATCATCACATTCAGGCAAGACGTCGTTGGTGTAGGGATCGTCAACACTGGGATAATCGACGCTGGAGCAATGTGATGTTTTCAGATGAGTCAAGGTTCACTGTTGATTTTTTGGACAGACGTAGGAGGGTGTGGCGTCGTCGAAACGAGCGCTTCCAAGACGTTAACGTCATCAGACATGATCGATTTGGGGGTGGTTCTGTTATGGTGTGGGGAGGCATCACTGTTGCTGGAAGAACGGCTTTACATGTTGTTGCAGGGCGTGTTACAGGCCAGTACTACCGGGACAACATCTTGGCAGTCCATGTTGTGCCGTTCGCACGACGTCATGGCCGCCGTTTCATCTTCCATGATGACAACGCAAGATGTCACAGGGCCAGGATCGTTACAGGTTACCTCCAACAACAGAACATCACCACATTACCTTGGCCAGCACTGAGTCCCGACCTCTCCCCCATCGAGCATGTCTGGGACATGCTTGGACAGAGGTTACGTCAACGTCAACAACGTCCTGCCAATGTCCAAGAACTTGCTGCTGCGTTGCAACAGGAATGGGACAATCTGGACCAAAATGACCTTAGACGTCTCATTAGGAGTATGCCACGTCGGATCAATGCTTGTTTGGCAAACAGAGGAGGATTTACCCGTTACTGACTTGGTTGTGATGCTGTGGTAACTTTGCTGTTTGACCCCGGGTATCATTTTACCCTTATAATGGTCAGTCTGTGCCTTACTTAGTCTAACGATCATTTGGAATAAATCGATGAATGTGAACTTCATTTCATTTTGTCATTTGTTTCTTCGTCAGTTTCATTAGGTGACTTTAATAACACTTAAAAATCAAATATCCCCTACTTTTTTTGAATAGTATATTAGTGTGCGCCAGGTATGTGGACTTTTGAACCACGTCATTAAAGGTAATGTTCTATATTTCACCTAGTGCATGTCTGTCTGTGACCTTCCAATACCTTGAAATAACTACCAACAATAGAATTAAAAGATCTGGATCGTCTAGACTGGACAACAAGTTCTCTGCATAAAAGTGAATTAAAAATTCTTAAATGTATCTGATTTGAAGAGTATCACGACATCAAAACATTAGGTGTACATATTTAATATAGTTTTCAATCACGTATATCTGCTAATTATATTATAACTGATCAATGACTGATATTAAATATAGATAAATACCCAGCATTTGAAGAATGGCAATCTGATTAAAACACAGATCTATATTTCGTTTCGTTTTTTATACTTCCGATGGCTTACACTACATGAAGATCTGACAAGTTGTATGCGATGGTCGTGTCAGGGGTCGTACGAGGGGCTTTTCTCCCTATGACGTCAGACATTGATTAATCAATCAGCGTTGGCGTTTCTAGTAGTTCACCAACAGTTTCGTGCATAGCACGCCAAGAAATCGCCGTAACAGACTGTTTCATTGGCTTATCCCCTACTTCAACCAAAACGCCGGTAATATAACAACTCTTCCAGGTCCTAGTTTAGTAAAGACAAGTAAAACGAAATTTTGAACTATAAAAAACGAAACGAAATAGGATCTGTGTTTTAATCAGATTGGAAGAATGGGTCATAGATTGAACATGGATTGCTCATGGGCGTGCCAAACATTGTTCAGCCAAAGTGATTTTTAACTAATAACATAGTCAGTTACCAAACGTCTCGCCCGGTGCTCTCTGTTCAGTTTTTAATTTCCAGTCCCACAGCGAGACAAATTAATTTTCAAACATTTCAAATCCCAATCTTAGACACCTGACAATAATCATAAGTTCGTTGATTCCTGATATAAACTATTCCGTGTTTAGTATCATATATGTTAAAGGTCACAGACGGCGATAAATCTTTGATAGGTTTTTTTTCATATCTCTTAAAGTGACTATAATATTCCAAACTAAAATCAATGTTGTTTGGCATCCAGACAAATTAGATATTTTGATCAGAATTCGCAGCATGCAGCTCAAGAAAATATCTTTTAGTTTCTTAAATGGAATATTATGTTTCCTTTGCGAAGCTAATTGGATAATATGAACTGCCAATGATATGTCTCATTTAGATAAATTTCATGTTTGTAAGATATTCGGCCAAATTATATTCACCTAGTTTGTCCGTTTCGCCGAAGTGTTCGCCCGATTGTAGAATTCATTGACCATTCACCATCCATATCACGTGTTCGCTGCCATGTTTAATCATGTGATGCAATCGATACTCTAGGTCATATCCCTCGTTGTGTATTTATTTTTTTAATTAGAAGGTGTGCAGTGTAGGCGGTTCGTTTTCATGAACAATTTTATGTGGGCCATTTGTAAATCCCTTGATCTTACATTGGTCATAATATGGAAACGTGGTGGGATGTTTTTACTGAGAAACATATTCGCCTAGTGTGTCCATTGTCATTTGGCCGAATGATTCGCCCGAATCAAACATGTTTGATATATTAGGCTAAATTTTGATTCGGCCGAATCATATTCGCCTAGTGTGCCCGCTTCGCCGAATTCGCCCGATTGTAGAATTCATTAGCCAATCACCACTCATATCACGTGACGATTTGAAGACATGATCGCTGCCACGTTTAATCATGTGACGTGAAAGGTGATGCAATTGACTAGTGAATCGGGCGAAGGTTTCGCTTAGTGTGTCCACTCATTCGGCGGAATCTCATTCGACTGCAATTCGTCGCCGATTGATTCGGTCGAATCGCTCGGTTAGTATGTCCATCGCTTTAGTATTTGGTTTAATTCTTTTCTAATCTCTTTGGAATTTGTGTAACACTATCTTAGTGATAACAGAGATCAGTTTAGTAAATATATGATTTATTTACATCAGGTATATAAAACAGCTACAGTTACATGCATACAGCAATACTGGAACTTAAACTAGTATACAGAAACTAGACTACGACAGGAACACATATAACTATATTAAATCCACCATTCTGCCCCTCTACCAAGGCAGCGGCTGAACTCGGGTGAGTCCATACGCCGGTCTCTCTGTCTCCGCTCGTCTCTAGTCGTCTGCCTAATGATCAGCAAACTCCTGCGTATATAGCGTACGGCAATTATGGTATTGTTTATTTATCAGATTATGGTATATGTAATTGCACTGCGTATATCTTTTGAAGTAATTAACAGGTGAAAACAGCTGGAGGTCAACAAGTTCAATTTGATAAAAGTTATAGAGTGCTTTGTTACATTTGTTTTTTTTTTTATTTCGCTATTTGTTAAAAGGGGTATTGTGTAAGATTTAGATCAATAATTGGCTGTTCTCGCTATATTTTTTAAAAAATTAGATAATGCAAAACGATTATATTGAAAATTTCATTCAAATTACTTTATCAATGGTTGTAGTTTTGATAAAATGTGTAGATTGATCGTAACTAAAGTACTCGTCATTCGAA